TTAGTCAATTACAAATTGCTTAATTAGTTAGTTAGCATGTTGGTTAATTAATTATATGGCAAATTGCTTAATTAGTTAGTTAGCAAGTTGGTTAATTAATTATATAGCAAATTGCCTAATTAGTTAGTTAACATGTTGGTTAATTATAAATTATATAGCAAATTGGTTAATTAGTTAGTTATGATGTTGGTTAATTAATTATATAGCACATTGGTTACTGAATTAGTTAGCATGTTTGTTAATTAATTATAATATAACAAATTGGTTAATTCGTTAGTTAGTATTTTGGTTTTTTCAATTAGTTGGCTAGCAAGTTAATCAGTTGCCTGGTAATTAGTTATTATTTCAACAGTTATTTTGCAGTTTAACTGGAACATCAGTATACCTTTCTTGTTCCTCACTGGAGTCTGCAACCCCGCATTTTCACCATCTAGCAAAACAAAATAACACAATTATACATTCTTGTCAACGTATACAAAAGTTTCACTAATGCATAGGTAAGTTTAACTTATCACTATCGCGTAGCACAAGGAATAAAGACTATACAGAAGCCGGACTTCTTGTTTTTTCGTATTATTTTGGCGTAACCGTAATTCGTCCTAGCCAGTGCGGTTATGAGAGGCATTCGCCCCCTGATAATATTCAAAATGGCAGACCTCCAGGCGGGGAATGCACTGGCTAGAACCATGGCGTCAGCATTGTGATGACGAATCATGGCATGGCAGCACTGAGCCATACATGGCAGTGGTTACGCTTTTCTGGCCGAGTCGACCTTCTGTGTGTCTTTATTCTGTGACAAGGTGTTCAACTGGTAGTTATCAGAGCAAGAAATATGATTGTGGTTAGGAGGTTGAAGTTAGGGATAGGATTAGGTTTCGTGATTACATGACATGAAAAATAATGACACCGAAAATAATGTTTCGTTACCATAGCTACATCCAAAGACCTCAACGCTTACGCCAGGTCCTAAATCAAATCCTAGACGGTACGATACGGTGATGAGACGTATTCCACGAGCAACTATCCGGGGCTCAAACTTCGTATATCCTGAATAAGAAACACCATTTTTTCGGTTTGTTTCCAACAAGGAAAATACCTGAAAAATGCAATACAATCAAATATTAATACGCTGTTTGTATAATGTGACAAATATATCGAAACAAGTGTTTGAATGGCATGGAGAACAGTGGGATTTTAAAAACAATGAAATGGAAATTGGATTGCAATTAATGATTGACCGATAATTGGTATCGGCATCAGGCTGATTTTTGCCTTATCGGTAGACAATCGGAATCGGTAGAATTATCTATATGTCCGATTGTCTAAAATCAATTGTTGAGAACTTGGATGCGCACTTTAAAAATTGATATGCATTGCACGTCGATACATGTTAAATGAATGCGTGAAGCGTGCCATTTATTAACGATCTTAGGTTACAGTAACATGTTACCACAGAATAGATACTAGGCCAGAAGTGTCACTCCTATGTGTTTTGGCTTGGGGAAAACGTCCGAAATTTTTTACGTGCTATGACGCCATCCTGGAGTGCACACGGCACTTTGTACCTATGTTTGTACCTGTGAAAAACTTCCATGTGCACTCCAGGATGGCGTCATATGATGGCGTATTTTCACGTCAGCACGTAAAATTTTGGACGAAAAAATTATAGTAGAGTAAATCTTTTCATCTTGTCACAGGCGACAACCTGAAATTTGAACCTCAATGTTAAAATATAATAGAGCTTTTTCTGCGGATTGATTTCCACTGTCATAGTTTCCAAAGAAAAGGGGGCAGATAATTCTTTACATTTTTGAAGAACTGCATTTCTGGCGTTTTCTAAAGCAAATTCGCAAACAAGAGTAGTTACAGTGCGTTTCAGCCCCCTCCCCCCCGGTCACTACATCCCTGCCCGTATCAATGACATTGATTAAATAAAATCTACAAATACACATGGTTCTTACATGAACTTTTCCTTCTTTATTCTTATAAGGAAGCCACTCCTTGTAATCCATGGTGTAGTTGACCGACCAACGAATGAGAGCATAAACCCACGAGCTAGGGCAACGAATCCTTCTAGACAGTTTGTATTCAGACCCACCATTCACAATTAAACCATCTACGACAGACATGCCATCTAGATATAAAGAATCAGAATATTACTTAGTGTATACCTTCCTCTATTAAGCACATTCTGTAATAAAACTCTCAAGAAATCTTCCTCTCAAATTACGCTCTCGCCCCACAAAATAAGCCCCCTCAAATAAACCCCACCTCTCTAATAAACCCACTCAAACAAGTCCCCTCTGAAGTAAGCTCTCCATCCAGAAAGCCCCCACCGCTTTGATGAACCCCCTCCAAATAAGCCCACTCTCAAGTAAGTGCCACCTCTCTAATAAACCCACCCAAATAAGACCCCTCTCAATCAAGCCCCC